GCCTTTCATGGGAAAAATTCTTGAAAAAGTTGCCTACCAACAACTTACTGAATTTTTAATATCTAATGACTCATTTGACATGTTTCAGTCTGGCTTTAGACCACACCACAGTACTGAGACCGCTCTAGTCAAGGTAACAAATGATATTCGGCTTAACACTGATGCAGGAAAAGTCTCTGTTTTAGTCATGTTAGATCTGAGTGCCGCTTTCGACACCGTTGACCATGAGATTCTCATGCAGAGACTGGAGGACTGGGTTGGTGTTGCTGGTACCGCCCTAAGCTGGTTTAGGTCCTATCTAGAAGAAAGGAAGTATTGTGTGGAGATTGGAGACTATGTCTCAGATAATATGGCCCTGACCTGCGGAGTGCCACAGGGGTCGATTCTGGGACCTCTCCTGTTCAATATTTACATGCTGCCGTTAGGTCAGTTAATTCAAAGTATGAAAGTGTCCTACCACAATTACGCTGATGACACTCAGATCTATGTCTCACTGACTGCAGGAGAACATGGACCGGTGGACTCACTCCTTCGCTGTATCCAGCGGATCAGTGAGTGGATGCAATGCAATTTTCTCCAGCTAAATGCGGACAAAACCGAAATGATTGTCTTTGGTCCCGAGAAACAAAGAGAGACCGTCATTTGTCACCTTCAGTCTCTCTCCCTAAGGCCTTTAAATAAGGTCAGAAATCTGGGAGTAATAATGGACTCTGACTTAAACTTCAATAGCCACATTGGATCGGTAACATCAGCAGCTTTTTATCATCTGAAAAATATTGCCAAAATTAAAAATATTGTGTCCAGGGCAGACTTGGAGATTCTTATCCATTCTTTTGTTTCCAGTAGGCTGGATTACTGCAATGGCCTGCTCACAGGTATCTCCAAACATGCAGTAAAACAGCTGCAGTATATTCAAAATGCTGCAGCCCGAGTCCTGACTAGAACCAGGAAGTACGACCACATTAGTCCGGTCCTCGGGTCTCTGCACTGGCTTCCCGTGGCCCAGAGGATAGACTTTAAAGCAGCTCTCCTGGTGTACAAGTCTCTCCATGGCCTTGCACCAAAGTACATCCATGATATGCTAGTCCCATATGAACCAGCCCGGACTCTGAGGAGCGCAGGGACGGGACTCCTGTTAGTGCCCAGAGTCAGGACTAGACAGGGGGAGGCTGCTTTTCAGATTTATGCAGCTAAAGTCTGGAACAGTCTTCCTGAGGATGTGAGACTGGCTGCCTCTCTGTCAATGTTCAAATCCATGTTAAAGACTTTTCTTTTTTCCTGTGCATACAACTAGAGAATTTTATCGTTTTTACACACCTTGTTATTTATTGTTGTAACTTTTTGTGTTTTTAACTATTTTATTGTTTTTAATTACTTGTGTGATTCTTATGTTTTTAAATTACTTATGTGATTTTAATGCTTTTTAATTACATATGTGTTTTTAATTGTATTTTAATGGTGATGATTTGTGCATTGTGTGGTGTGGACTGTGAGGCGCTTTGTGTTGCCCTGTGCAGGAAAAGCGCCCTATAAATAAAGATTGATTGATTGATTGATTAGTCTGTATTCCTGGTTCTTTTGTTGGATTTTTCCTTGGACTTTGGTTTATTAATAATGAAATCACCTTTTTCTCATTATTGCCTTTTGGGTTCCATGCTTCCTCTCACCACACATCACATCCTTTATGCGTTCCTTAAATCACCTGCATTCCATGTCAAAATGAATGTATGTGGCACAATGTCTAACACTGCTATATGGCAAAAAGCATAGTAGTGGATAAGGGACAGTGGATTTGTATTTTTAACAAGGTGGATGAGAACGGAGACCAGAATCTAATTAAGTGTACTGCATACAGATGTTTTACAGACTCAGAGGGCAATATCAATATTACTAATTCAACAATTTTGAACAATGTGATGAACTTGTCCTTATTCCAAATATACAGTGTGGTACAATCAGCCATACTTCAATCACTCCACTCAACAGGACCAGTGCGACTGCCTCTTCACTTTACTGCCCATTAGATAGAAGACCTATTCATTTGATATGCACTGCCCTTGTGTCTAAACTGGACTTTCTGCTTTGCATATTTCATCAAGGACGCAGCCTTTATCTGCTCGTGCTTTCAGTGAATAAAAAATAACAAAAGTTCCAACTCATCTCCAAGAAAACTACATTCAATTTCCCTCACAGTATTTTAAGCTTATTAGAAACAACTTATCTTTTCATACTAGTCCAAAAGAGCCCTATGAGTCACTATTTGACTCTTTTTCACATTTCTGTCCAAAAATATGTGACAGAAGCTAAAAAAACAAATGCATATGAAAACAGATGATAGAACCAGAATGATAGACAGGAACTATTATTTGAGAATTAGGTACGCAGGTTATTTAGGGTTATTTATCAAGAATTGTCCCACACAGATGTCAGAATGTCTTTTTCACGGCTGGCTTTATAACACAAGATTATTTAAAGTGCGTGTGTTCAAAGTCTTTCACTTGTAAAGACTGGGTTTGATTTGACAGAACCTACACTCAACACAGTTGTTTTACACCAGTTGACAGAGTTGAATATAAACGGTGTGTCTGTGTCTGTGTGTTGTGTTGCGTTTATGTGTGTGTGTGTGTGTGTGTGTAGTGTGTGTGCGTTCGGGTTTATATTTATTTATTCTTTTAGAATTCTTTAAAATCTATGATCTATGATCTAGCAAAATGATTATGTACAGTGAGTAATTGCATGGAATCACGGAATCAAGACACAAAAAGCAAACATTCTGTCTTGTATTTTATATTAACACTCCTTAAAGAAGAAATAATGTATTTTTGGCCCTTTCACTTGATAATGAGACGAATGACTTGCCATTTAACGTTTTAGTTTTGAGTATGTTTGTGAGTTTGAGGACAATAACACACGTGTCAAAACCGCAGTGTGTTGAGATGAAAGACAAATATAAAGCTGCGGACACACAAAACTAAGTGAATAAACATATTTACCTTATATTATCAGTGATTTTATGGACTAACAAATACATTATTGTTTGATGTCTTGTACTAAAACCCAGGTGTGTCTTGTATTAAGCGCCTAGACTAACGATGGAATTTATTACATACAGAGGAAATGATGTGACAGTGACTTTGAGATCTTAGACTTAAAAGAAAGTTACCGATGTAAGCTGGGATGAGACTCAAATCTCAAACTAAAGACAATAAACAATTTAGGGAGTGTAGTCAGTAACAAAGGGAGAGACCGCAGGGATAGGATAGCCAAGGATATGAGCTCTTGAGTTCTATTTTTAATTGTAAAGATAATTAAATATTTTAACTCTTGAATTTTTCGTCTTCCTTCTCTTTCATCAAATTGGAAACACGTCAGTCTTATTCTTATACAATAATGTTTACACCTATTCCCTCAATATGAATGCATTTCTATATATGTGACACATTCTTTCATTTCTACATTGGCCATTCTAATTTGCACATATCCCATTATCGTCCACTCCGTACGTTCTCTTGTTTGTTTGTGAGCCGTCAATTATTTCTCCGCAAAGTTGTGTTTACATCACAACCTTTTCCTTGGAGGCCTTTAAATAATACATGCGTTTGCCGCCGCTGTGTAAATTCCACTTCTGCTTCAACCCATCAAATATGAAGTCTACCGATTAGAAAAAGGCTACATTATGAACATTACCAAACAAATATGGCATTGATTTAAACCCAGCTCCCAGCACAAGTGACTTATGAGAGCTGTAATAAGTGTGTGTACCTGTATATTGACGTCTCTCAACCCCATATACAGGAAATATATTACATTAAAGCCACAATAGACTAATGATGGATGTTCTTACCGTTTTTGAAGTGTTGATACCTCATTATACCGATCATAAATAATACATTGTTTATTGTTAAAGGGGATAGTTTGTTGAGGAATCTACATTTAAGAGCTTGGCTGAAGTTCACTTTGTTTGTTGAGAAGTGGAAGGAGAAAACAAGTGCACCCTGTTCCACTGCGCATTCATTTCTAACTTTTGTTTGTTACTTACGTGGCAATAAATATTATTCCGATTCTGATTTCTAAACATTTGAACATTCAATTCCACTTCAATTCACAACAACAGAATTTACAAATGTGTTAATTCCTCAACAACAGGTCAGAGAATCAAACAGTTTGAACACAGGAAATGCAATAATAAACACATAGGAACCATTGGTCCATAGATGACCAATGTCCATAAATGTTCTTAAATATCCCGGATCATTAACCTCCTGCATCGGAAAGAATCAAATAAAAAAAATAAGTGGTCAAAATGAGAGAGGGATCCGCTCCCATTCAACTGTAGAGGCCAAGTCCTTCAGACCAATTGGTTATTTCTGTTTATTGCTGGCGACAGATTCAAAACTCACCGCTGTAACTTTATGAAAACATAAGATTGGCCTTCGCTGTCCAGCAAGCAACATTGTATTCCATTTATTTATCAAAAACTAATTATCTGACATGTGGGTTCAACTGAAATTCCCCCTCTCTCCATTTGCAAATACTGAACTTGGAAAGAAGGTTTTTCAATATTTTGAATCTCAAAAATTTAGTTAGTTCCACTTTCAAGTTTTAATAATTTGGTTTTAGAATTGTTTACACATAACTGTGCCTGTTTTTAAGGCTCGGGTACTTTCAATAAATATCTATCGCTATAGTTGGGTCTATCATTGGCGAGATCCCAGAAAACGTCAAATAGAGACTCACAAGGCTCTATATAATACTTTTTTTTTTTTTGTAAGATAAAATGTTGTGATTAGATTTGTTCACAACATTTCACTCGTACATGACTTTCTGTTGGGACCAACAAAATGTATGAAACAAAGTGATTTGGTACCCAAACCTTTACCGTTATTACCAGTTTTCGTGACTTCCTGTTACTTGGTGGCGGTGGTGGTGGTGGTGTGGTGGTGGTGGTGGTGGTGGAGGGGAGGTGGTGGTCGTGGTGTGTGGTGTTGGTGTTGGTGGCGATGGTGGTGGTGGTGGTGGCGATGATGGTGGTGGTGTGGTGGTGTTGGTGGAGGTAGCGGTGGTGTGTGGTGGTGGTGGTGGTGGAGGTGGCGGCGGTGGAGGTGTTGGTGGAGGTGGTGGTGGTGGTGGTGGAAGTGGCGGCGGTGATGGTGGTGGTGGTGGTGTTTGGTGTTGGTGGAGGTGGTGGAGGTGGCGGCGGTGGTGGTGTTGGTGGAGGTGGTGGTGGTGGTGGTGGAAGTGGCGGCGGTGGTGGTGGTGGTGGTGGTGGTGTTGGTGGAGGTGGTGGTGGAGGTGGTGGTGGAGGTGGCGGCGGTGGTGGTGTTGGTGGAGGTGGTGGTGTTTGGTGTTGGTGGAGGTGGTGGTGGTGGTGGAGGTGGCGGCGGTGGTGGTGTTGGTGGAGGTGGTGGTGTTGGTGGTGGTGTTGGTGGTGGTGGTGGTGGTGGTGGTGGTGGTGTTGGTGGTGGTGTTGGTGGAGGTGGTGGTGGCGGTGGTGGTGTTGGTGGTGTTGGTGGAGGTGGTGGTGGTGGTGTTGGTGGTGGTGGTGGTGGTGGTGTTGGTGGTGGTGGTGGTGGCGGTGGTGGTGAGTGGTGTTGGTGGTGGTGTGGTGGTGGTGGTGGTGATGGTGGTGGTGGTGGTGGTGGTGGTGTTGGTGGAGGTGGTGCTGGACCTGTGTTAGTCTGGTGAGACCCAGGTGGCAGCTGCCGAGCTCCGCTAACAGGCCAAGGTTAGACTCGTTTACAGCGTGTGAGATGAGAGCAGAGGAGGAGCGTGGTGCGAGCCGCCGTCTGCTCCGTCAGCGACAGGGAACAAGACATTAGTCTTTAAGGCGCCGCAGCAGCAACACAAGCGCTGTCACCTTCCATCTGTGCCGACTATGACGGCCTGTGTCTTTATTGTATAGAGTCAACAGTCGCACACCTCAGGAAAGGGCATTTAAAGCTGGGGTACCTAACTTGTTTCATCTGTATACATGTATTTTGGTTTGACAGAAAGAGTTATGTTTCACTCCTCTGCCAGAACTATGGAACTACTAGAACTCCCAGAGCCGTCATTTTGACTTAAAAAAAAGTTAAAAGTAATTTGTATAAAAAACCTTGTTTATTTTACATACTGAAAGCTGATGTGAGAATCTGGAAAACCTGGACACCCAAAAAGATGACCTTCAATTAGGGCTGTCAAACGATTATTTTTTTTTTAGATTAATCGCATAGTAATGGTGAGTTAACTCACGATTAATCACATTTTTAACATTCTATTTCAAATCAACTCCAATTGAAGTTAAATAGGATTTTCAAATGTAATGACACATTGTTATTCAGACCAAATGTACTTAAAACTGTTTGACTTGCTCACAACCTTCTACTTTTGGGTACAACCAACAAGAGCTGTTAATGAAAGGGAAAATGTAGGTACCCCAGCTTTAATTTTGCGAGTTTGGTTGCATTTCAGCGTGTCTCCTCCTCTCCTCCGTGTGTCACACAACATCAGAGAATGGCCCCTGTGCGTATATATATGTGTGCATTATATGACCACGTTACCGCTGTCACCATCACACACGCACGTGTCCGCGGCATTCTGAGTGATATTATTATAAATGGGCGGGTCATTCGAACATGCATTAATTATTTTTTAACGCGTTAATGAAAAACGGTAATTAACGTGAATTAACGCGACAATTTTGACAGCCCTACCTTCAATTAATGGAACCATTTCAAAGATTGTAATTAATCTATTTCAAAATGTTAACATTTTGGACATTTTTCAACAGTCATGGACATTGGTCAACTCCTCCCTATGGACCAATACCTGTGTGTTCTATATTTTTTGTGTTTGAACTGTTTGATTCTCTGCTTATTCATGCTCTTCCATTCAAGACTCTTTATTTAAGTGAAAAATTACATTTTAATGTATTTAGTGTAAGTAGCAGGTATTGTTTGTTACTCATGTTGTGGTTGTTACTGAATACAGTATGATGCGTTCTGCTATTTGCTTCCTACTAAAAGCTAGATACTGCTTCATGGGTGTCATGTTTATCTGAGTGAATGTGTAAGAGTTTTACTGCATATTTTAACTGAACTGACGCATCCTGTGTTAATGTTAATGTTTCTGTCATCTAAAGATGTGACAGAGCATGTGAAAAATAGAGATAAAACCAAACAGATTTGAGAGCAAGGACGTTATTTGTTTGTGGTTTCAAGGTTAGGTACTCCAGCTTTAATTCTGAAATCTCCAAGAAAATACTATTTCATGGTATTTCAAAAATAACTATTTTTATTTGTTGTTAGCTACAGTCATCACAGTTTTGCATAAAACAAAATAAATAGATCTCTTTGAAAACATCTCATTTTAACCCTTTTTCAGGAAACCAAATAGTGCTTTAACATTGCACAAGTTGACACAATTTGAACCCATTTCTAACATCAAAATGATTCACTGTCCCAATATGACTTCTTCAAAATGTTTGCAATTATTACAGGCAGCAACAGAAATGACAACCTCCAAAAAACCGTTCATGAACTGAAAATATTTCACCCAGCATTTATTTTACGTGTTTTTCCGCTCTACACCTGGCACACCACACATTCTCACAACAAACTATCGATCACCCGCCCATGACATTAATGAATAAAACAGAACAGAACGCCTGGTGCAGCAGGTCAGTGTGTTCCCAGCCTTTTCCTATTTACTCGCCTGTACATAAATGAATGTACCTGTAGTAGATGACAGGTGGATTGGCCTTGGCTCCGCAGTGGAATCGGACCAGGTTTCCCTCCAGAACGGGCTGCGGCTCCACTGTCAGATTGACGATGGGCAGGTCTGAAAGAAGCAGAGAGAGAAAAGCTCAGAACATACTGTACAGTGTATAGTATGAGGGCACACGGGAGAATGATGCTGGTTTCATAGACGGATAAGATCATCCAACTCAAGGCTATTGGCCCTTATCTCCCGCTATTGCTTTATCGCTCACAGAGGCACTCGGACTGCAAGGACACCAGGGAGAGTTTCACATGGACCAAGACTGCAACAGGACTTGGATTTGGGCGTTCATAGACGAAGACGTGGAGGGACAACATGCTACGGTCTCTCAGATCTATATGATGACCATGGGGACAGAATACAACTGTGTTTGTGGAGTAGCTGTAGAGATGGAGGCATTAAACCCCTCTAATCTGAGAAGTCTACTCTGAACCAGTGTTCCCCATTCCAGCAGGGGCAGTAATTTATTGCATACTACAAGATACATTAAAATCATGTGATCATGTTTTACTGAATTGTATATTTGCTTGGTGCGACAAAAATAGTGTTAATATCTTGAAACATTATTTGAAACAAAACCTCTACTCAAATACTTAATAGGATTCGGGTTTTCAAAATTATTTGAAACTTTGTTGAGTCACTTTAACAAAGTGACTCAACAAAGTACTGTAGTAACGTAATGGTTAATATTGTAATATTTACTTGAAACATACTTTTAACTTTACTTTTTAAAGCGACCTTGAGTGTCTACAAAGGTGCCTAAGAAATGAAATGTATTATTATTACTATTATTATCAATATAAATGTATTACATGTTTAACCTTACAACTAGTTACTAAATAATACTGGTACCAAAACTGGATAGGGAAAATATACACGCGATTGTATGTTTGTAAAGCAAAGATCTTACTCACTTTTTACTGACAGTTGTGTTAAGTCCGCTGAGATAACTACTGTTGTGATTTAGGGCTATACAAGAATAAAGTGAATTGAATTGAATTACTCACAACCTTAATATTTTGTCTCTCCCAAATCCTGTCTGATCCTCACCACTATTGACCCAGTCTCAGCATTAGTTTGATTTCAGGTTTTTAGTTGCCTGTTAGGGAGGAGAAAATGATGTGTTCTGAATTATTATCTAACATTTTTGGAACAAAACACTGCTCTTCTTGTCCAGCGGGCCATAACTCATTTTAAGCAATTACACTGTCATTTGAAAGTTTTGGGAGCTAATGCTTGAAAGTTTGTCCTCTAGGGTTTTAGCACTAAGACAAATCAGATCTTTCATAACGACCAGATAAGAGGCTTTTTGCTTTATGGATGGAGCAGTCTGGAGCAGGTCCACGGCGGGCAGTGGGACTCATGAGAAAACCCATGTTGTTACGTGGGAGGTGTAGAAGAGATAATGTGCCACTTTATATATTACATTAGAAGAAGAGAAAATGCCTTAAGGAGGTTTGAGTAAAACACTGAGCAGAGACCAGGGCTTTGTGAAACTGGGGTTAATGAAGAGTTAGGGATAGCAGCAATAGTGCAAGTGATATTTAATACAAATAAATTGGTTGGTTCATTTCATCAAATTTCAAAGTTCTATATAATATATACAGTCTATGCTTAAGACCAAGCCTGTCAAACCTAAGTTCTTGGGCCAAATCCGGCACTCGAGACAAATATTTGTGGACCCAGATATATTTTCTGTCTTTATTGCAGTAACTTTGATGGTAAGGGGGCTACTCTGGCATGTTATACTTCATTTTAAACCATATTGTCATTGGAAAAAAAAACAAGTATTTGTATCTGTTGTAAAATGTCATTAAAAGCTATAGTTGCTTTTTTTCTTCAGTCTTCCAAAACAATTCATATCGATATTTGATCTAGTTGGGGTTGAGTCTAAATCTACTATAAAATAACATACAAACTCATGTCTAATACAATTCATTTTAAAATAATGTAAAAAGGTTTATATCACTTTTATACTAACTTACTTTTATGTTTTGAAATTTAGCCCCCGACAAAAATTAGTTCAACACCTTTGCTTTAGACAGCTTTGTGAACGATATCTGAAGGACAGGTTTATTGAGTTTGAACCAATGAAAAATGGAAGCAAAAACAAAATCCTTGCATTTTCATTTCTGTTTAGTGTATACAATGCGACACCCATTTCTCATTATTGAAAATTTGTTATTCTCAATTTTTCTCCAAAGCAGTATCGCTCTGCTTCTTTCCGAAACATGCTCACATATACGTAAAGCGGACTCTGCTCAGGCCGAAGATCATGACTTTTTTTCCTTCATGAAAATCTTACCGCTGCCGAATCATCCACATATCACATATTTCTAAAATGGCCCCACAGACTAAAGGCCTTTGTATACTCAGTGCCTCACCAATCACCAACCACCGCACGTCACTGATAATAACTATGTCTCCAACAAGAACTGTCTTTATTCACCACGTCACAGTTGAAATTAGTAATGGTCCGTGAAAGGCGTTATATAAACAAAGATTACTTACTTACCGAAACAATCTATAGATATGTCACATAAACTTACACCTAGAATACAGATTTAATGAGCTCAACTCAGCTTGGTTCATCTTTGTTTTTGTTCTGAAAAGGACGAAGTAGATAGCCTAACTTTATATTGGGACCGCTTTGGTGTCCCAGGCAACTCCTGCGAGATCGCCATCATGTGGTTGGGTGTGGGATTACAACATTCTCTTCCAAACTATACAAGGAGTATACGAACAACTATGGCAGCGTAATCAACCACAGGTCCAGCGCAAACGCCAACGCAACCTAACCCTAAACCTAACCCTAAAGCCCGTGTATACACAGGCCTTGAGTAAAAACAGTGGGCATGTTGCGGTGGCGGTGATCAGAGGAGCCAGGGAGTACGAGGGGCTTACTAGGGACTATAAGAAAACATAAATGACACAAACATGCATGAGTCTTTGTCAGAAAAATAGCAATTACAAATCTTGTCCATTGTGAGTTGTAAATGATATCTTGGGTCTAATGGTTGCCTGCAATAACAATAACAGCCATTAGCATGAAACTCTTATTATGTTGTAACCTTTCTCTTTCTTATGCTCTGGGAGATCGTCCACCGGAGCCAGAATTCACTTCAGAGGGACCATCCAAGGACACTTCACCGCACTCCTTTGTACTTGTTTCTTTTTGACCAATAATGCACACCTTTGAGATGTTAATGCTGCCTCATCAGCGCCAGCAGCTCTTGTATCAATTAGTGCTCCTCTTTTGTTATTTTCATGGCCGGCCCAAAAGTGAAGAGGTAAACGGATGACGCGTGAAGCCGACGTTTAACGTTTAAGAGCTTTTCAGAGTCCTCGAGCAGCATACAAATTGGAGGAGCTCGAAGTAACCAGAACAGAAATCTCATTAAGAAAGCATTTGTGTTGCAAAGTTAAACAATATAGAAAATGAGAGATAAGAGATCTTTTAATCGGGCGACAGTAGGTCTTTGGATCTAATGGTCGTGGGTTCGATTCCACCACGACCCATGTCAGCTGTTGTTGTGTCCATGGGCAAGACACTTAACCCCACTTTGCCTCAAGTCCCTGCTGAAAGAGGTGAACCTACCACCTGCAGAAGGGTCAACGAGGGACTAGTGCATTGTGAATTGGGTGGCAGTTCTGAGTGCCGGCCCCTCTGACCCGGAAATGGATAATAAAGGGATGAAAATGAATGAATGAATAAAAGATTTTTATTTGTCCCACAGTAGGGAAATTTCCATGTTGCAGCGCACATACAGGACAGCAGCAAGAGCACACAGGGAGCACACAAAATTAGCAGTAGCTATGTTTCTTAGCTAGCTGTAAATGCTTCAATAGAACAGGTATCATGTGTTACTTACTGGTATTTTGTGTTTTTAGAAATGTGGAAAAGAAGACAATTTTATGGATTCACAAGACAAAAGATGCAAAAGATGACCAGAATATTAATAATAATGCATTGGTTTTATAGAGCACTTTTTAGACACTGCTTCACACTGCATTATACTTTAATTCGATACATGGTTGTGGTTAACATCTGCCCTGGCGCAAACGGACCAATCCCATCTAGTGCCAACATTTGGAAACGATCTTCGGCCTGATTTAGTTTTAAATCAAATGTGGCATGGTCTTGACTCTAAATGAAGGCATGCTGTTGGAATTTGTTTTGTGAATGCAACACATTTTTTTTTAGAGGAAATTCCTTTATTTTTTGCCGTGTTTTCTGACATTACAGTTGAAGCTGGATATCCCTAACATCCTTTGTTTCATACATTACATTACATTTATGTTTTCTTTGTTCTTGTTACATTAAACTTGTCATACCATATGTACATTTCTTGAAATCTCATCTAGGTACAGTACAAGTGCTGCGTATTGTCTGATGTTTTGCACATGGACTGCTTTACTACAGTTTGTAAATGTTTTCTGTAATATTGAAACATTTGTTGCAGATTAGATGGTATATCCTTATGTTGAACCATGAATTTTCCGCTCATTCTAATAATAACAATGCATCAGTTTTATTTAGCGCTTTTTTGGACACTCAAAGACGCTTTACATGTCATTCTTTCACTCCATACACAGTGGTGATAAACTACTACTGTAGCCACAGCTGCCCTGGGGCACACTGACAGAAGCAAGGCACCAGTATGTGCCTTTGGCCCCTCAGACCACCACCAACCATTCACACACACACCAGACTCATTCTAGGCAATGTGGGTGAAGTGTCTTGCCTAAAGACACAACGGCAGTTTGGCACTTTACAGCCTCAGCCGCCCCACTGTGGCTGGTGTTCCCAGAGGTTAAGTGTCTTGCCAAGGACACAACGACAGCAGACATTAGTGGGAGTCGATAGTGAAAGTCTTGTGGTGGGCTCGAACCCACGACCTTCTGGCTCAAAGGCCAATGCTCTACCAACTGAGCTTCTATCACTTATACACCATGGCCTGATCTAAAGCCTCATTTTGATCTTTATTGTCCATTTACACCAGTAGGTTGCCCTAATCCAGATGTTTCTGGTTGCATGAGGGTCAACTTTAGTTTTATCA